TCTACCTCACTTTATGTATCAATACATAAGTTACCTCTAGTAAAATAAGGATTCAGTTGTTGAATCTAAAGTTATAGATTGTACTTCTGGGAAAATGGAGTAGGCACCATTTTTCTATTGGGACTTCACAATTCTAGACATTATATATATAAAACAAGCATAAGAAGACTCTGAAAGATGGAGAAAAGAGACAGACTGGCTGGCTGGGAACCACAAGCCCCAAAGAACAGCCTGCTAGTGAATTCCCTGGGTGCTCTTTTTGCCCCTTACATGTCCCAGATTGGGTGTTGAAGAAGCCAGGAACCCAGAATGCCAACCATCACAGACAAAAAATCTCAAGCAAATCCTGACCCCTTTAGTCAAAGGATCAGGAAAGGCAATAACTGCTTGACTACAACTGAACATCACAGGAAAAACTATGGCACCATCCCCTCCTCCACCAACAAAGGCTGGGAGGGTCCTAGACTTTCACCCTCAAAAGGCTGTGCTGTGGACTTTCAACACCTGCTCCCCATGGATGGTATCTGAGAAGGCCATATAAGGAGCCAGTATTTCACCCTCCCAGCCAGTAGTCACACTCCTCCTTGGTGCTGGTGGAGGCTACGTGGGGCTTGGGATTCCCCACCAACCCATCAGGATTGAGGGACCCTTCTCTATTCACAGGGTGGTATCGGATGAGGCTGAGTAGAGGCTCAGGACTTACACGTTCGCCCACTGGTAAGCAGACCATTCCTACTGTATTTCAGTGAAGACCATATGGGGAGCAGAAGCTTCCAACCCTTCCCAGTAGTAAGAGGGAGCCCCTTGCTCGGCTCAGGTGTCAATGGAGCTCCACCTGGCAGTAATGAGGCAGCAATTCCCTCTACTTCTGCTGCAGCTGTGGTGCAGAAAGCCAGCCAAAAAGAAGGTTTCAGTAAGATCCAGACTCTTATGCCATAACAAGAAAATGTTTAGATTTCAACAGAAAAAGCACTAGTCATATAAAAAACCAAGAACATCTCAAGCTGAAGAATAAAAGACAATTAATATATGGCAAAAATGAAGTGACAAGAATGTTAGAATGATCTGACCAAGATTTTGAAGTAACTGTGATAAATATTCTTCAATATGCTATTACGAACAGTCTTGAAACAAATTTAAAAAGACTCTCCCCAAACAAAAAAGTATTAAAGAAATAGAGATACAAAGATAAACCACATGGGCATACAATTACTTAAGAAAGCTGCTCAGTGAATAAGAAAGTGGATTGCATAATAAAGAAATTATTCAATCTGAACAACAGAGAGAAAAGACACTGAAATCACTGAGCCAACTCCCAGGGACTGGTGAACTCACTCTAATAAAAGACATGGCATTTGTGTCATCAGAGCCCTGGAAAGAGAGAACAAAGAGGATGGTTAGAAAAAGTACTGAAAAAGTAACAGTGAAACATTTCTGAAATTTGGCAAAAGGACATATACTTACAGATTCAATAATCCGAGTGAACCTCAAACAGGATAACCCTAAGGAAATCCTCTCCAAGACCCATCATAACTAAATTTCTGAAAATTAAAGACAAAAAAAATTTTGAAAATCAGTGAGAAATGACAAGCGAAACACAACTCAAATGAAAGCAGATTTTTAAAAAATCATAAATCAGGGAAGTCAGGAAAAAAATGACACAGTATTTTTCAGTTGCTGAAGAAAGAGAATTGTCAATTTATACCCAATGAAAATACTCTTTAGGAATAAAGAGGAAATCAAGACATTCTCTGATGAGAAAATCTAAGAGACTTTGTTGCCAACAGACCTGCCCTAAAGCAATCGCTAAATAAAGTTCTCTAAACAGAAAGAAAATGATTTAATAAAAGGACTCTTGGGACATTAGAGCAGATGAAAACATGTAAGAAAGAGCAAGAGGGCCAATAATAGACTTTTTCTCTCCTTTTGAGTTTTCAAAATTATTTTTGACAGCTAAAGCAAGCATCTTACCACAGTTTGATGTGGTCCTCAATGCACGTAGAGGAAATGTTTCAGTTAATTATAATTGGGGCAGGGTAAAGGATCATAATGGTAAGTGTTCCAAACCTCACTACAAGTGCTAAAATGTTGATACCAGCAGACTGTTACCAAGCACTGGTGAGGATGTGTTAGAAACTGGGTCCTATAGCATATTTTTGGTGCAAGTTTAAAATCCTACAGCCATGTCTTTAAAACATGTATAGGCCGGGCGCAGTGGCTCATGCCTGTAATCCCAGCACTCTGGGAGGTTGAGGCAGGTGGATCACTAGTTCAGGAGATTGAGACCATCCTGGTCAGTGTGGAGAAACCCATCTCTCCTAAAAATACAAAAATTAGCTGGGTGTAGTGGTGCGTGCCTCTAATCCCAGTTACTTGGGAGGCTGAGGCAGGAGAATCGCTTGAACCAGGGAGTCGGAGGTCGCAGTGAGCCAAGATTGCACCACTGCACTCCAGCCTGGTGACAGAGGGACTCGGTCTCAAAAAAACAAAAACAAAAACAAAACAAAAACCCAACTTGTGTATGCCCTTACCATTCATTGAACCTAGCATTCAAATTCTGGTGCATTTATCCTAGAGAAATGAAATCTTATGTCCATACAAAAACCTGTCCATGAATGTTCATTGCAGCTGTATTTGTGATAGCTCAAACCTGAAAACAACCAATACATCCTACAACAGATGAATAGTTAAAGAAACTGTGTACATTAGTAGCATAACATACTATTTTGAAATAAAAAGCAACTAATTATTGATACATACAAGTATCTAAAGGGTACTATGCTGAATAAAAAAGGTTGATCTTAAAATGTCATACACTGTATGACTGCATTTATATAACATTCTTAAAGTGACAGGATAAGAAACATGAAGAATAGATTAACATTTGCCAGAAATTAGGGATGCTTAGGTGGGGAAAGAGATGGGTGAGACATGACGGGTGTGGCCATAAAGAGGTGGCACAGAGATCTTGCTGGTGGTGGGCCAGCCTGCACCTTGAATGCTGTGGGGTTATATGAACTTACACATGTCATAAAATGACACAGAACAACATATTTATGCTATACCAATTCCAATTTCCTGGTGTTGATATTGTACCAGAGCTATGGAAGATGTAAAAATTGGGAGAAATTGGATGAGGGGTACTGGTTGAGGGGACTTATCTATAAAGTTTGCAATTTCCTGTGAATTTATAGTCATTTCAGAATTAAAAGTTAAGAAAAGAAGTAAAACTGTAAAAGTTTCACAAGAAAATATGGATAAATATTTTAGTCCTTACGTAGCAAAAGTCATTTTAAACAAAATACTTAAATATAGGCTATATAATACTTAATAAAATTGACTGTACTGAAAATGAAAACTTTCATGAACCACTTCCCAAACATGAAGACTGCTGCACATGGCATTACCTGCCTGTAATCCCAGCTATAGTGGGGACTGAGGTGGGAGGAACGCTTGAGCCCAGGAGTTCCAGGCCAGCCTGGGCAACGTAGTGAGATCCTGTCTCAAAATAAGATTTTTTAAAATTAAAAAACATGAAAAGACATTTTAAAAACTGGGAGAAGATATTCTCAACAAACACATAACTGATGAAAAGTCAGTATTGAAAACAAATTTAAAAAATTCTGAACATCACTAGAGAAAGTACAAACCACACACAAAAAAGCCATTGGTATTCAACACACAGAAGAGAAAGTACCAATTTCTAATAGATGTCTGAAAAAAATCAACATGATTGTTGATAAAGAAAATGCAAATCAAACCCACAATGTGACCCTATTTCACATTCATTTGACTAGCAAAGCTGGAAAGTGTCTGCTTATCAAGGATGGGGAGGACCTATTATTCACTGCTGTTAGGTTGGTATATCATAGAGACTTTCTAGAAAACAGGTTAATGTCACTGTGTAGGGCTGGACATCCACACATCCTACCACATAGGAATTCCGTATCTACCCAAGAGAAAGCCTTGTACACAACACAATGTATGAGAAAATTCATAGAGAAGTGTTGGGCATAACTCAAATGTTCTTCTAGAAGAATGAATGAATAAACTGTAGTATAGTCACACAAATGAATCTTAAAAAGGAGAAAGATAAATAAACTAAACTATATACAATATGGATGAATCATAGAAAGTTAAAAAAGCTAGAATATTAAATATAAATTCTCTTTTGATAAGATTCTAAAACTATAATAAATTAGAAATGTATACTACATAAAATACACAAAAGATATAAATAAAATTAAAATAGTATAAAAAATGACAAAAATTGATGAACATGGGGGTTGGAGTGAAGGTTATGCTGATGGAAGTAGGTGGGGAAAGAGACAGAGAGAGAGACAGAGACAGAGAAAATATCTCTTTCAGATTGACCGGGGAAAGACTAGGGGATAAATGGGTGAGGATTTGTCAACATGAAATCAAACCAAAGCAGGATTTTATTTCTAGCCCAATAGTGTGTGTATGTGTGTGTGTGTAAGGTTGTGAAATGCTAAATAAAAATAGACTCTGAAGTCAAATTCAGCATTTTATTTTATTTTGTAACAGAGAGCCCAGAACAAAATAGAGGAGCTGTGCCGTGGAGTTGAACCAGTGCATTTTTCAGTTCTGTTCTAATTCAAGTTCATTAGTTACTTTAGTTTATGCCAGTCTGGATGGAATTCTAGCTTTGGCAACTCATACTGGAACATTTTTTTGACTTTTGATTTTCTGAAAATTGATTAAAATTTTAAAAGTTGAAAACATTTTCAAAGGTTTATAGTTCGATAGTTAAAAATTTAGACTTTCTCAAATATTATTGAGCTCATAGTTGAAAATGTGGTTAGAGCTAGACAACCTTTATGACCTCATCACAGATAAAATGGAAAAAAATCTGGTTGTAATAAAATTATAACACTCATATATTTTCGAGTGAAGAAAAAGTTAAAATGACAACAGCAACAGAATGATTGTGTTGGAGTTCAATTAAGACATTCTCATGTATCTCATACTTTCTTTAGCCCTGACTAATGGATGTGAAACTGCTGGCATGGACACTATCCAGGATGTCCAGTAAGTACTGTCATTTCTAACAAGTAAACATAATAACATTGCAAACAAGCAATAAATCAAAGAAGATGGCTCTCTCTATTTATAAGCACTAAAATGTAACATTCCCCTTCGTATATTTCTGGAAAGAGTTTGCACACATAAAGCAAGCACTCATCAGTAAAGTTCTTATTTTAACCAAATTATCTGCCCAGATGGAAGTTTTATTTTGTTTGAGTGGGCATGTGACAGTATCACTCTGAAATGATGGTGCTGGTTCTGGCATATTGCATCTGGAAGAGATGTAATGAGTATTATTGTATTTCTTTGAAAATACATCATTATGCAAAAATTATCTCTTGGAATAAAATTTCTTATGTTTGGTAAAAGTCCAAGAGAGAAGATTTTAAATTCCAAGCAAGAATATTATCCCAATGTGAGTTATTAATTAGAAGGCAAGTTTTCCTCATGAGCATTCTGAGTTTAAATATGTTATTTACAAGTATAATAGGCAAATGAAACCATTTAAAAATTAACGGAATGTGTCTCTCCAATTCTATCCTAGCTTGATTCTCTCATGCTTATTTCACCCCCATGGGAGTTCACAGCAAGACCTTGCTGTTTGACATTTCATTTAGTTTCAAAAATTGGCTAAAAGGGAATCAAATCTATGTATTCATACACATGAATGACATGTTTCAGGCCACCCAGTGTAGACTGTTATGGCTCTCTCTCAATATTCATGACTCCAGTCAGGATCATGTTGGATATGCCCAAGTTCAGTTTGATTGAAAATAGTGTGAATATAGAAGGAACAGAATTGGGGAGGGGGAGTGTTGAGTCTGGATTTCCTATTACAATATGAACAATGAAAATTTGATTGTCTAGGATGCTTCTGAAAAGTTCCCACCAAAATATATCTAAATAGAACTAGAGTGTGAATTTGTAACGTGAAGTATAGATGTTTAGTCCAAGTGCAAAATATCCTTGAAGACTTTATTTTGAAATTCACCTTTTATCGTCTATAATATATGCTTGGTTGAATGTAAAAACATAGATGTAGCACAAATACCAGTTAAAACCATTGCAGTCTCATTCAAATCATTTAGAACAATCAACACTCAAGACTTGAGCACCAGAACAGGAGAGAGGATGAGTTCCTGGGTTGAACTATGTTTAAGAAAGAGAGTTAGAGACTGGTGAAAGGCAGTCAGAGAGATAAGGGGCACAATTGAGAATGGATTACCAGAAGACAAGAGAAGAGACCAGTCAACAATATCAGATAAGTCAGAGAAAGTGAGGAAGGCATGGACATGAGCTGACACGAGGCCACTGAACTTGATGATGGAGATATCATTAGGGCTTGTAGAGACAGACAGCTGTTTCTGAAGAATGATTTGGGGAATGATTTGGAAGAAATGTCAATGGATTATAGAAGAGGTGGAGATCAGTTGGCCCCTTTCTAGTGAGGGTTGAAGATGCGAAGGAGGCAAAGAGGAGAGAAAGAAGGAGAGATACAGCCAATTATTTGCATTTTTATATTTGTAGCAAACAACTAGAAAAGATGAAGATAAGTCATTGATAATAGTCTAGTATCATATAAAATACCAGGAAAATGTCTAGCAAAAATATGCAGGATATTTACCAATATATTGATCTCTCCCTAGAGTCAAGTATCAGTATTCTGTGTTCTTTATTTAAACTCATAAGATGATTCTAACATTATATAGAAGATATACTCAAAAGGAATAATAAGATGATGACAAGGAAGGCAATACATTTTTTGATTACTTTTGGTTTCTCCATAGAGAAAATGGTCATGTCACCTGCTGGGAATGTGGGAAGGCAAGTGCCTGTCTTTTTCCACCTGCAGTAATAACCCAGCTCCCTTACTGATATGTGTCAAGGACGTCTTGAGACATCCTCCAATTCCTCAGGCAGTTTCTCCATTGAATATAGTCACTATAAGACAGTGCACCGAAATACATGAGGGTGTAGTCATGGGAGCTTGTTTCCTTGAGAAGGTGAGTCAGGAAGCTCCCAGGACAGAAGACCTTCTGGGGAGATGGCCCAGTACAATCCAGGGTCAACAGTCTCAGCTACTTGGGAATCACCCTCTGATGTGGCCAAGTGAGGCTTTTAGATAAAAGGGTAGTCATAAGCATTGAGAAAAATACTTTAGAGCTCCATGTGAAAAACAAATCCTTTCTCTGGTGTCGTTTGGGTTTGGCAGTATAGTTATTAGAAATTCTGTCTGGGGCTTCTGTTCTTTCCTGCTCTCGGCCCTTCAGCATATGAAACCAGCATACCAGATGACCACGTATGATCCAGTGTTGTCAGAGGAGAAGCTGAGGAGGTGTTAGACTTCTTGGTTGCAAGTGGAGGCTGGAGTTGGCTACTATTGGATGTGCTGAGTGTAGTTCAACACCACCTGATGGTGTCATGATGATACTGGAGCGGGGCAGGGAAGTGCTGGGAGGAGAAGGGCGGGTCCCTGGTGAGGGCTCCAGCCCTGGGCCTGTGCCCAGGGACATAAGTAAGGACAGACACTCCTGCCTTACCGTCCAAATGTTGCATTTCCCAAGACCACCCTGGCCCACCATGCCCCATCCTGTGCCTGTAAAAACCCCGAGACCTTAGTGGGCACAGACATAAGCCGCTGGACACTGAGAGGCACACACCAGTGGAAGAAAACACAAGCGGCTGGATGTCGAGAGGAATGCACCAGCGTAACAACACCCCAACAGTGCCAGAACACTGGCAGGCCATCGACTGGCAGAACGACACTAAGTTTGACCAGGATGGTCAGAGGAGAGCCCGGCCACTGAGCAGCCCGACTCGAGGGGAAAACCACATTCCCACTCCATCTCCCTTCTGGCTCCCCCATGGGCTGAGGGCTCTTTCCACTGACTAACACCTTGCACTCATTCTCCAAGCCCATGTGTGATCTAATTTTTCTGGTACACCAAGGCAAGAACCCCGGGATACAGAAAGCTCTCTGTCCTTGCGATAAGCCAAAGGGTCTAATTGAGCTGGTTTACACAAGCCGCCTACAGAAGGCAAAACTAAAAGAGCACCCTGTAACACACACCCACTGGGACTTCAGGAGCTGTAAACATCCGCTCCTAGACACTGCCATGGGTTGGAGCCCCACAACCTGCCCGTCTGCATGCTCCCCCTAGAGGTTTGAGCAGCGGGCCACCGAAAAAGGCAGCCACACCCGTGGTTGCAAGCCCTGCGAGGGGACAAGGGAATTTTTCCTTTCAATGAGGCCAAGATTTCTTTTTTTCTTTAGCCAATTAATTTCCTTAATATTAGGTAATAATGCTATGTAAACCAGATAATGTTAGAATAATCTACTCATACAGTTTTAAAATAACACAGGTAGGATTGATCTTTGTTGCTCGTGCATCCATTGTGTTGCTGGTGCATCCATTGTGTTGCTCTGCTTACAGCGCTGACTATTCCCTCTCAAGCTTTGATCATGCTCAGTCTCAGCACATGTGCATCGTTCTCATTTTCCGTCTTCTGGTAGATACGTTGATGACGAACCATATTTTAGTCATCCCTTCGCCCCAACAACTAATATAAACCCTGTCCCAGATTGTGCTTAATAAATCTTGCTGCATGGTTGAATGAATGAATGAAATCCAAAGCTCAGTACTGAGAAGTAGCGGCTATAATTTAACAAGCTTCTGACTTAAAAAGACTCTCTTCTCTCTGTCCTGTTCAAAGTCATGGTTTTAAAACATCTATATTCTTTATACCTCTGTCCTCCCTCCAAAATCTTGCAGAAAGGAAGGTGGGAGGTCAGATAATGGATATTTTCTTTGCTGTGTGAAATGGGTTAGACTCTCACTGGGCACACAGGCAATCCCAAGACCTTTCAATCACCCCATAACTATCACCGGGCACGGGAAATACGAGTGTGTTCTTGCCACACACTCCATTTAATGCATGCATTCCATGAACACTTGACATGAGCCCAGTTTCTTGCTTGGTTCAAGGAATACAAAGCTGAATAATGGCGGCCTTCTCACTGAGACCTCCTCAAATCTCTCCTACAAAGCACCGGCAGCTTTCTCATAAAGAACAGCAGAAACTGTGTGTATGGGAGGATGAGAGAGGGAGTCATAGGGCGAGAAAAAGTTTCTGATGGAGTTTTGATAGGTGGCAAGAAGAGAAAAAAACTCCCTCCCCAAAATGCAGAGGCAAAGAGGAGCCTCATGCTAGGGAGTGGTTAGGGAGTAATTTTACAGTTTTTAAAAATAATTTTAGAATGACTACTATGGCAAAGAGGCCAGTGCATAAAGCAGTGGGAAGAGAGTAGAGACAACTATACTTCCCCTGCAGGTGTGTGTGTGTGTGTGTGTGTGTGTGTGTGTCTGTGTACAAGGGTGGGAGCAATTCCTTGATTCTTTCAATTCATTCACTTCTCAGCTAAAAAGCTAAAAAGTTTCTGTTTCTAGTTTTGTATTTTTGTATCCTCAGATGAGGTTTCTGCAAGCCACACCCTTATGGCTGAATTTTATGTTCGAATGCATTTTTCCACTTGGCACAGCTAGTAGCTGCACCTTGATCTCTACTTTCATTGAGAATCATAACTGTATTAGGAGAAGGAAGACATTTTTATATTTGTAGCAAACAATTAGAAAAGGTGAAGATAATATATATATTTAAAGTGGATGTATTTATATATATTTAAAGTGGATACCATAGGCTCATACACGTAGAAGGCTCTCAATAAACTTGATGGTGGTCTAACCAAGTCTAAAGTTCTTGGTACACATCTGCACCAGTGAGACTCAGAACAGTGAAGTAGGTCCCCTAAACTGACTTAGTTAGCCAGTCCCAGTGCTAGCTAGTGTAAAAATCCAGGACATCCAAGTCCAAGGCTTGCAATAGCACATGGCTTTATATTATTTATTTATTCACAGGTATTTATTAAACACCTTTTATGTGCCAGGCATTATGCTCATTCATAATTTTTTGACATTGATCCAGGCCGCAATCAGAATGAAAGTGCAATAAAAGCCACAACTTAATTATTCTATTTTTCGGGGACCTAGTCTTGCATTGATTACATCCCCACATAATCTCCAAGAGAGATTTTTTTGCTGGCATTATTCACCATCATTCAACTGTAGCAGCATGAAGGAAGCTATTAGTGCATAGGTTTCTGTGGTTATTTGACATAAAATAAATGTCAGCTTTGTAATCTTAGTCCTTATGAAACAAGTGTTAACTAAATTGAGTGAGAACAACTCACATTTAAATTGCTTCTATTGGCCAGTCCTTCAAAGGTAAAATGAACTCCTCCAAGTCATTATCAATGTCCTCATCAATAAGCAGAGTATGCAGGGAAGATCTCTGGGTCTTTCAAAGACAAAATAACACACACTAATGAGTTAGAGACACATATTGGTTTGTGACTCAAAAATGTGATTTGTTATCAGAAGAAATAACTAAAGGTGAGTTACTACCTATTCTACAAACATGATTACTCCCAGGAGTGACTTTCTAAAGTTCCAAGAATTAGAGGATTGCTTATCAAATTAAATAAAAATTAAGTATGTTTATAATTTGTTTTCATGCATCCCAGAGTCTTTTTACTATTCTGTTGGCCTTTCTTTCTCTTCCAACGTCCATATAAGAGTTCGAAAACTCTACTGCCGATTTCAGCTAGCAATTGTATTTTAATCAAGTGTGAGAATGATTCTCTTTCCTGCTACAGTTCAGAATCTTTTTCTACCAATCAAATGAAGAATGAGTTTGCTTATGCTGTTACAGGACATCATGAGTGGTCCCAGGTGATTCAAGGCCCACTTTGAATTGATGTTGGTGTTTGGGCCTCCGGCTTCATCCACTAACATGGGTGACCCTCAACCAATCATTGGTGTGGTCAGGTCCTCAGCATCCTTGCCTCTGAATGGGAACAGATGCCTCTTGGGTTGTAGGAGAGTCTGTTAACTGTCAGCACTCTGTGTGAGCTGGGCCCTGCCATCATGCCTCTCCTCCCCACTGTGCCTGCCCCTGAGGGCCTCCTCAATACTCCCTCTGTTCCTGCAGGGCCGTCACTGAACTCAGCAGAGCACAGACACAGAGTTTATATTTCATAAGGAGTGCAAGAAGGTCAGTGGCACTGAGGAAAGCTAGGCTCACAAAATGTTTTAAATGGACTGTAGCCACAGCCAAGACCTGACCAGAAGGCTGTGGCCAGGCTTCTTGCTCCTGGTGCAGCCCCTTCAGGTGAGGCAGAGGACACAGTGGCTTATCACTGGGCCAGAGCCCAGAAAGCACAAGCCTTATTTCAGCTCTACCCCATTGCATTTTTTTTCTCCTGTCCTCTGGCCCTCACAGCTGGGACCACGAAGGCCCCCAATGGCCATGGCGAGATCAGTCCTGTGTTAATACCCCCTGGCAGGAGTAGAGGGTTTCTTAACCTCAGCACCGTGGACATTTGGGGCAGGATAACTTTGTTGTGGGAGGCTGCCCTGTGCACTGTAGGCTGTTAACAGCATCCCTGGATGCCAGTAGCACTTCCCTAGTTGTGATGACCAGGAATGTCTCTGGTCATTGCCAGGTCTCTGCTGGGATTGACCCTGGGTCAGAATCACATTAGGCATGATGAACATGACTGGTCTTGTACCGCCTCCTGTGCAAATCTGCTTTGGCACATTTGCCTGCTACTCCAGCCACATTAAACTTCTGCCAGTCTCCAAATGCAGGGGCCATCGCACACCACTGGCTCTTTACGCCTGTTCTTTCTTCCACGGGACTTTGTTATCTTTCTGGTCTATTTGGAAAACTCATTCTGATTCGATAAGCTCCTCAAGGTGTCTCCACAAACATTTCCCTGATCAGCTCAAACAGAATCAGTGCCTTATTCCCTTGTATAATACTCCATCAGCCCACAGTGATCCATCATCCTGCAAGGGAAGCCTGCCATGGAGTTCCTGTCCCAAGAGACACAGAGGTCCCATGCTGTTTCACTAGAGTGTGATGGGTCCTATGAGAGGAAGGTTCCAGTGCTCCAGGACCCTAACAGTGAGGGTGTCTCTCTGCCAGGGACCAACACAGGCCTCCTAAGGCAATGGCAGACCAGGGAGATGTGAAAGTGAACAGTGGTTGTCCAACCAAAAGAACAGCAAGTGTGGAAACAGTGTGCTCTTGCAGCAGGGACTCATTTAAATCGTTCACATAGAAAATCCGAGTTTATTATAAATCATGCTGCTATAGAGGTACATGCACACGTATGTTTATTGCGGCACTATTCACAATAGCAAAGACTTGGAATCAACCCAAATGTCCATCAGTGACAGACTGGATTAAGAAAATGTGGCACATATACACCATGGAATACTATGCAGCCATAAAAAAGGATGAATTTGTGTCCTTTGTAGGGACATGGATGCAGCTGGAAACCATCATTCTCAGCAAACTATCACAAGAACAGAAAACCAAACACCGCATGTTCTCACTCATAGGTGGGAATTTAACAATGAGATCACCTGGACTCTGGAAGGGGAACATCACACACCAGGGCCTATTATGGGGAGGGGGGGGAGGGGAAGGATTGCATTGGGAGTTATACCTGATGTAAATGATGAGTTGATGGGTGCTGATGAGTTGAGGGTGCAGCACACCAACATGGCACAAGTATACATATGTAACAAACCTGCACGTTGTGCACATGTACCCTAGAACTTAAAGTATAATAATAATAAAAAAAAGAAAAATAAAAAAGAAAATTCGAGTTTACCGAGCGCCAAATATATCCCAGATTCCTTGTGCAGTGTGCAGAGGAAGCAGGCCCTAACCTTGACCCTGACGCACTTGAGACCTGCCCATGCCTTGCTGCGTCCTTTGTCTGCCCTGGCTTGTTTCACTGCCTGGGGATAGGGGCTTCGGTCACAGCCATGCTGGCCATATGAAAACTGTGCCAAGGATGGTGTGTGTTTCTGGTTTCACTCACCAGAGGCATGAGGGTCCCTTTAGCATGTGATTTTCATCACTGGGAGGGAAATCTGGGCTGGCAAACAATTTAGAAGTCATGGGGTTGAATAATGCTGCCAACAGAGAAGGAAGTAATGTCAAGAATAGATTCGCAGGCATCAGAATTCTTTTTGAGGCTCGTTCTTTCCCACCCACTTTTACTTTCTGGCCACTGCTATGGACCAAACGTTCGTGTCCTTTCAAAATTCACAAGTTGAAGCCGTACCCATCAATACGATGATATGAGGAGGTGAGGTTTTTAGGAAGTAATTATTTCCGGAAGGTGGAGTCCTCATGAATAAGATTAGTGCCCTTATGAAAAGAGACCCAAGGGACGTGATCTCTCTCTCCACTGTGTGAGGGCTCAGTGAAAAGGCAGCCTTCCATAAACTGGGCAGGGAGCCCTCACTAGGAACTGAGTTAACCAGTACCTTGATCTTGATCTTCCAGCTTCCCAAACTATAAGGAATAAATTTCTGTTGTTGAAGTTACCCAGTCTGTGGTGTTTTGTTATAGCATTCTGATCTGACTAAGACACCCACTGGAATCACAGTTTAATTGAATATGGTAGTTGTATAAAATTTGAATACTATGCAGCCATAAAAAAGGATGAGTTCATGTCCTTTATAGGGACATGGATGAAACAAGAAACCATCATTCTGAGCAAACTATTGCAAGGACAGAAAACCAAACACTGCATCTTCTCACTCAGGTGGGAATTGAACAATGAGAACACTTGGACACAGGAAGGGGAACATCACACATTGGGGTCTGTTGTGGGGGAGGGGGGTAGCATTAGGAGATATACCTAATGTAAATGACAAGTTAACGGGTGCAGCACAGCAGCATGGCACATGTATACATATGTAACAAACCTGTACGTTGTGCACATGTACCCTAGAACTTAAAGTATGATAATAAAAAAAAGAAAAAAAATGTAAATCATAAAAATGTACCACCTACTCGGTGTGTATTTTCACATGCATTTTACAGAAATCCTGTGATGCAGAAAATTTCCCCTTTCAAGTGAAGAAATTGACAGCACAGCGATGAACTTTCTCTAGGAGTTACAGCCAAGAATTGGTGGACTCTGAATTCAAACCTTTTGCTTAGGGCTGCCCCATCCTGCCTGAGTCCCAACAGAGGTCAGAGACACCTGCAGGTGGCCTGAACAGGGGAGCAGGCTGGTCACAAGGGAGCAGCTTTGGGTTCAGCAGTTATGATACAGTCGCTGGGAACTTCTGCCCATCTGGCCTGACTGGTTGGCTGAAATGGCTCTATCCTTGATGAAAACCTGCTGGAAGGAATTAGGAACACAGAAGACGTTGCCAAAGAATACATTGTTCAGACCCCTAAATTTACTGCTCCTCATCCCCTGCCTGGGCATGGACTGAAGGTTGATATGTTGCAGTCTCACCACTGGAGAGAAGAAATTCTCAATTCCTGTGTGCCCAGGACTCCCAGGGAGAAGAGCATCCGGGCCTGATGTCCCCCACGGCGGGCAATCGTGTGCGGGTCTGTGGTTACACCCACCCACACTTTCCATGTCACCTGACAAAGGTGCGCTTTCCAGTAACTCATTGCAAAACTTTTGTGAAAGGAAAAACATCTAGTCTGATGTGAGATGAATAAGTTGGTTTAATAAGTATGGGTTATGGAATCATAATAATGGGGACAGAAAAAAGACAAAAATAAGAGTAGGGCACCTAGAGTTTAAATGCAGGTAAGAATAAAAGCAATTAAAAAGTCATATGTTTTCTCAAAGCTTTGGTTTGTGTCTTGGTGTTTTCAAGGAAGCTGAAGGTACCCTGATCAGTCTGGGGCACACCGGCACAGAGCCAACACACAATGATTCTAGGAGAGACTGCTGTGCCTCAGACTGCTTTCATCGCCAGACAGTGGCCCCTTGAGTGTGGGTTGAGTGTGGACTCAGCCTTCCTTTCTGCAGGGGTTGGGGGAAAACCAGGCCTAACATCCAGCAACAGAACATTAACTCAGCTAGTGAAAAATGGAAGTGACGTCACCACATGCCATATTATGAAAGTAACTATTTTTTAAATAGCTCAACTGCACAATTGCCAAGGCTTGGATCCCTCTCTTAAAGTCTTATAGAGGCCTTGTAACCAACTCCTGGCTAATCTTGGCTGATAGTTGCTGCTTTCCATCTGCCAAGCTGTCAGGGGATTGTTTCCTTTGTTAAAACTCACAGGGTGAGGTGGAGAACAACCGTGCATATTTCTGTACTTTGTGCATGCTCCTTGCTCCCACTGGAACATTCCCTGTTATTTGCCACTTGGCAAATTCTCATCCTTATACACCATCATCTGCATCTCCAACTGAATCATCTCATCCTCAATGCACTTGCTCCCCTTTTATTCTATTAATACAATGTTTGGTGCAGCCCCATGGTCATTATCATTTGTGCTGTAATTCTGCATTCATGTACATCTTTACTAATAAAAATAGAGAACATCGATCCAGAACTTGCTATGTACCAGGGGCAGTGCTAAGCATGTTGTTCGTATTATTTTACCTAATTCTTGCAACAATATTTTTAGGCAGTGCTATCCACATTATCACCCCTTGACAGAGGAGAAGTTGACAGCTAGGTATGCACTTGCCAAGGGTCACACATATGGAAGGATCAGAGCCAGAATTTAAACCCAAGGAGTCAATGATCTCACTTATATGTGAATTGGAAATAAATGGAACTCATAGACACAGAGAGTAGAATGGTAGTTTGCCAGGGGCTGGGGCTGGGACTGGGGCTGGGAAGATGTTGGTCAAAGGGTACCAAGTTGCAGTTATAAGATGAATAAGTTCTGGGGATCTAATGTACAGCGTGGTGACTATGGTTAATAATAATATATTGTGTGCTTGAAATTTGCTAAGAGAGTAGATCTTAAATGTTCCCACCAACCCTCACCCCACACAAAAGGTAACTGTGTGAGATTATGGATATGTTAAGTAGCTTGATTGTAGTGATCAATTCACGGTATGTACATATATCAAATCATCACATATATGCCTTCAATATATACTGTTTCCTCCTGTCCAATGCATCTCAATTGGGCTGGGAAAAATAAAACAAACCCAAGCAGTCTGGCTCTAGAGGTGTGATGCTTTCCTGCCATCCTGTCTGCTCCCAGGACTCTGTGCTCCCAGAATCCAAGGGGGGTTCAGGCCTTATCCATGTTTGCATTCACGCCCCATCACCTCTCTCATAAAGACCCTGGTCATCCTTCCTTGGATTCACTCCTGCACCTCTTTCAAACATGGAGGGGCATAGAGAATTACGTAGTTGAGAAGCACCTGGCCCCTGTGTGCTTTGATGTCCACGCAGTGAGGACTTCTCATTTTATGGTGTGGGCCAAGAGAATCAATCCCAATCTCTTTAGAGTGATTCTCCAGCTTCCTGTTTGCAGGACCAGCAAGAGAATGGGCCAGCAGGCCACTTTGTGTATCTTTCTGACAGGCTGTGTGTGAAATAGCTGGTCCTCACTAGCCTGAAAACCTAAGGGAGGAAGAGTGCCACATCCCAGCTGTGCCCCTGGTGCCCAGCCTGTCGTAGAGCCTTAGAGAAGCTGCTTCCTGCTGGTGTTGCATGTCCACAGCCCATTACTGAGAGAAGAGATTGTAGCAGACTGAAGGTTGCCAATGTGAAATCACAGGGTGGGAAAGCAAGACATCCCTCACTGATTACATTTAGGATAACAACAACAGTAATAATAGTAAAAGGTGGCTGGATGCTTCTATGCTTTATGTGCTGTGCCTAGGGACTGCTATAGATCATTTGCTCTTCATAGCAACTCTGGGCTATCTCATATTGCTCCCATTTATAGATGAGAAAACTGAGGCTTAGAGATTAAGTAACTTGTCATTGCGCAACAGGTTAGTGAATGGTTGGTCTGATCTCAAATCTTATTTTTTAGAATAATTGGAAAATATCTTCCTTCATGCCTTTAGTCCATTCGGGCTGCTATAAAAAATTCCTGTAAATGGGATGGTTTATAAACAACAGAAATGTATTTCTTACAGTTTTGAAGACTGGGAAGTTCAAAATCAAGACACTAGCAGATTTAGCATCTGGCGAGGACTCTTGGTTCATAGACAGTGCCTTCTCGCTGTGTTGTCACATGGTGGAAGGGGTGAGGAAGCTCTCTGGAGTCTCTTTTACAAGGATGTTGACCCATTCATGAGGCTCCATCCTCAAGACTTAATCATCCCCAGAGGCCTCACCTCCTAATACTATCACCTTGGGAGTAAGGATGTTAATATATGAATTCTGGGGGACACAGACATTCAGAACACAGTACATTCCTTCTACAAGGCCTGGTAGACACTGAGGCACACATATCTGTTCTTGAGAGAACTCCAGCCAAGGAACACAGCGGGGTAAGGCACCTGGAAGGCTGCTGTCAGTGGACAGGTGCACAGGTTAGGACAGATCCGGGAGAGATGGAGGGCCCAGGAGCGACTGAAGTGATGCCTCCAGGTGTAAGGCCTGGGGGGCCACGTGGAGACAGGTGGCAGAGAGACTGGGAAGGAGGCAGAGCCAAAGCCTCTGTCTGGATGAGGCTCAAGAACAAACAGAGCAACTGGGCAAGAAGGATAGGCAGTGGCCACCCAAGAAGGATGGCAGAGTTCTGAATTTCATGGATGGGGCAGCCCTGAGATAGGAAGAAGCTGAAAGCAGAGACTGGAAGTTGAGAATCAGGGCCCATCTATTTAGTTTGGACCACAGCACCCTTTTGCTACTGTCTAGGTTGTTTTGCCTTTTAATGGAACCAACCTTGAATAAACAGATTTTGTGTACAAAAAAGTCTGGATATCCCTCTTTTTCTTTTTTTTTTTTTTTTTTTTTTGAGACGGAGTCTCGCTCTGTCGCCCAGGCTGGAGTGCAGTGGCCGGATCTCAGCTCACTGCAAGCTCCGCCTCCCGGGTTCACGGCATTCTCCTGCCTCAGCCTCCTGAGTAGCTGGGACTACAGGCGCCCGCCACCTCGCCCGGCTAGTTTTTTTTTTTTTTTTTTTTTGTATTTTTTAGTTGAGATGGGGTTTCACCGTGTTAGCCAGGATGGTCTCGATCTCCTGACCTCGTGATCTGCTGGTCTCGGCCTCCCAAAGTGCTGGGATTACACGCTTGGATATCCCTTCTTTAGTAAGCCAGAAGATCAGTCCTGTTGGGCTCCTTCACATGGGACAGCAGTTGGCAGAAGGGTCCTTGCTCCCAACTCTCCCCTCCCCAGAGGGCAGAGTTTCTGCCTCCTGGGCTATGTTCAACCTGCACTGCGCTCGTCACCCAATGGGAGGGACTAAATCAATCTGTTTGGGCTGGGGATACTTTAAATTGTAATTTCTGCCCTGAGGCATGGGGGTTTCTAAAGTCTTAATGGAGGGGAATGAAGATCATTGTAGGTGAGAAAATCCAGGGACATGTCCTGGGGATCTTGGCTGTGTCACCTACACAGATACTGAATTCCCTTAGAATGTGGGCAGGAGCTGGGGAGGTGATCCCAATCTCTCACTTAATGTGGGGTAGGTGATTCAGATTGATGTAGGTGGCAAGGATGGATCCAGGGTGAACCACCACATGGCATGTGCTTCAAGGCACATTTTATTTTTTTCATGTAGATGAAAAAGCAAAGCCATTTTGCAGTTTACATTCTACTCAAATACAAAAAGAAAAATAAATAGATTTGCTGGCGATCAGGAGTTTAATTGGCTAGTGGGGTCACAGTGCGTATAAACACTACAATTGTTTTGTTCCTTTGGATTTTGGGTTAAAAACTGCACTTTGCTTATTTTAGGGACTTTTAGGGATTTTCCAAGGCCAAAGTTGTGTACAAGCCAATCATATTACAATTGTTCTCTCTTTATCACTCTTAAAAATAATTTAATAGAAACTTAGAGAGCAGACTTGGGAATATAATAAAATTTGGCTCCTTTAAATTGAATACATATTTTCTAAACCTCAAATAGATACTTTCCAGAAAAGAACGGCTGTAATATGGCATTTATTGTTACAAAATTAGGCGGACCAAGAGGTCACTTGTAATATTTATGAGAAGTAGCTGAATCACGAATGGTTTCATGCCACCGGTAATATTAGGTAACTTCTTTAGTCCTGACCCAAGTATCAATCACTTTTCTGCTCCATCACCCTAGTCCCCACCAGCTCTGTGAGACAAGTGAGGGAGGGTTTTAGGTATCCCCAGTTTGCAGCAGAGGATACTGAGATCTGATGAGGTGTTTTTCATGTGCACTCTATAAAACTGTGCCACTGCTTGGCATTGTGATGAGCTCCATTCTCTTGAGCTCATCGTACGGTTAGTCAATGAGCTGAGAAGTGGAAAAGTGTGCTGAATCAGGACAGGATGATGCTGGGGAGCCAAGCAGGGTGATGCAGTCCTGTGGCAGGTATGTGGGGTGAGCCAGCCCACACCTGCCATGCCCTGATTCTTCATGTCTGGGTCCTTTCTCCAGGGCTACAGCTCACATTTGCGGTTGGCCTAAACAAAGTAAAACAGGTTAGAATGTGTCAGGTCCATAGCTTTACCTGAGGGGAGCTTGCAGGAAGTTCCAAGGCAGGGAAGCCTTGTTTCCTTCTCCAAACTCATTCTCACAGTTGTATTGTCATAGGAGTTGATCTCTCAACTGTGTACTTCCTATGTGTGCAGACTCAACATTTCCTAAACTGAACTCTTTTGGAGACGGTGTTCACTTGAGCTTCCAGAATTGTCTCCCAGAAACCCTATGTCCAGAGGCCAGCCAGTTGTCTCCTCTAGACTCCTAGACAGCTGCCCTGGTCTTGCCAGCCCTAGACCATTCCTCATAGATGAATCAAGATGACGTGTTTGCCGTCTCTGCAACGGATGCTCCTACTTCTCAATTACTTCAGACAAAAGTCCTAGAGTCAGCTGGTGATCCTCAGCCTCTGGAGACATTAGTGGTTCTGACACTTTTCTACAGTAGTATCCCCACTGAGAGGTGAGCAGGCATAATGTACCATTTTGGGTTTTTACCCTTCAGGGCTGGGCCTCAAGCATGATGTTGCTCTGAAGTTCAGTATTTTATTTTTAAAATTCCATGTTACTGCAAGGCATATGCATGTTTGATTCAAAATGTAAATTTATTTCTATTTGCAATATTGGGAAACTAAGTAATTCAGATGCATTCTCCTTGGCAAAATATAAGAAACATTTGGCTGGGCACGGTGGCTCATGCCTGTAATCCCAGCACTTTGGGAGGCCAAGGCAGGTGGATCACAAGGTCAGGAGTTTGAGACCAGCCTGGCCAACACGGTAAAGCCCCATCTCTACTATAAATTCAAAAATTAGCTGGGTGTGTTGGTGGGCGCCTGTAATCCCAGCTACTTGGAGGCTGAGTCAGGAGAATCATTTGAACCTGGGAGGTAGAGGTTGCAGTGAGCCAAGGTCATGCCATTGCACTCCAGCCTGGGTGACAGGGCGAGACTCCACCTCAAAAAAAAAAAAAAAAAAAAAAAAAAAAAAGAAACACTTTATGAAAGGTGTTGGAGGACTAACAAATTGCAGAGAACAAAAAGCCAACACCCGGGGGAAGAAGTAGACAAGGAAGGCAAGCCAGATTTAGGGATGCTTTTCCTCTTCAGTTTCTGTCAATTCCAGAAGGGTTGGAGGGTGGAGGTGGTGAAAAGCCTTATCATGGCTGGTCACTCCTCCCACCCCAAGCTTGGGGTGAGCTCTGAAAGTCTGGGCCTTA